TGACAATGTGAAATTTGCTGCGCATTTCGGACAAGAAAACGGTCTCCTACCAGTATGAATCCCCATATGTCCATTCAGATACTCTGTCCGGATGAAATTCATTGTGCATACCGAACAAGAGAACGGCCTCTTACTGGCATAAATCATCATACGTGCATGCAGATTGTCTGACCGGGTGAAAACTGCCATGCATTCCGAGCAAAAGAACCACCTCTTACCCGTATGAATCCTCATATTTCTATGCAGATTCGTTAACCATGTGAAATTTACCGTACATTTCGAACAGAAGAACACCTCTTACCGGCATTAGTCCTCATATGTTCCTTCAGATACTTTTCTCGGGTGAAATTCATTGTGTATTCCAAACAAGAGAGCGGCTCCTCACTAGTATGAGTCTTCATATGTGAACTCGATGGCGCAACGAAATCTCCCTTGGATATTTCGGATTTGAATCGCTTCTCATCTGTGTGAGTCGTATGCTCTGGATGTTTCTTTTTGATTCTTTGGATGTTGGGTGTTTCATTTTGATACTTCTTAAGCCAGATTTTCGGATTTATTCCTACATTTGTTTATTCTCTACTAACATCTTGAATTGGTGGGTTGCGTCATTTTGATCAATTTCGTTGAGTTCTACCAGTCTCCCACTCACTTCTGGCGTTGACAGATCAGATGGTCCAATCCATCTCTTAGTCATTCTTAGCATTAACAAATGTAACGGTTCTGTTTGTGGTTCCTCAAATTTTATAAAATTATCAATTTTTAACTGCGCAAAAACCTTAAAATATTGCTGCGCTATATTTTGTTTTTAATTTTAAATGAACTTACGATAGTTTGAGTGTTACTCAGTTGAAAGAGGAAGAAGATGAAACGGATGGAATGAATTTTGATGGGAGTGTTTTCTTGTCAATTCCGAAAAAAAAATATTCAAATTTACTGATGTATGGGATGGTTGCTTATAAGAAACAACACCGCCTTCTGTTTGACAATTGTGTGAAACTTTCAAGTGCGTACTATTCCAAATATATTAGCCTTGAAAAGAGATCAGTACGTTTCATTGCGTACATAGTATGAATATCACTCATTCAAACGTCAAATACAACAAAGTCAAATACAACAAAGTATTCATATCGGAGGATGGCTACAGGTATTCCAAAGCAGAATTCACGCAAACTTGCACAATTATAATTTTAATAAAAGGATAATTTTGTTTGAAAAAACAAGTGTTATCGTGAAGTCTTGAAATCTCATGACGTAAAACCTTGAGAAAGGCTGACCTTCTCTGTTGAAATTAATGAAATAGAACACACTGAACAAAATTTTGTTGCAGACTGACAGATACCACCAATTACTTCTGTTAGATATTGGTTGGAGATCATATATATATATATGTATATATATATATGTTAATTTCGATGGGAGTGACTAGCCACGTGTATCAATGACTTGCATGCACGTGCAGTAATGTAAGCAATATAGTGATGGCCACTGTTTAAATCCTTCATATTGAATAGTTTTTTGCAACTGCATATTGCATTATGAAAAATAGTTAATTTATGCAAATCTCCCCCAAAACTATTTGTTCAGTTTTATATCCTTTCACTTCAGTTTTTCAAATTTTTCAAAGCTGATACAATATTAACGATAGGGAATAAATATATTGCTTCATCACTTGTAATTAATGCCTTCAATTTAAGTATACTGAATAATATCATGGAAAAATTGTAATTAATGCTTTCAGTTGTAAATTAATACTTTCTATTGTAATTAATGCATTCAATTTATGTATACTGAATAATATCATGAAATTTTTCCTTCGGACTCAGCATCTATCTTAGAGCTTATTTTTGAAATTTATTGTTAGTCTTCGTATTCGTGGCTAAAGTATTTGCCAGTATTTTTTGGATGACAAATAAAAATTCACAGGTAATCACTTTTCTTCATTGGTTTATGGTCCCGAAAAACAGAAAGAACAAAGTGAGTTCGAGTCCGTCGTCCGGTTTCACAGTATACATCCATCGCTTCGTTTCGGCAACGGCCATGAAAATAATTATGCTGACAGGTCTTGTTTGAACCTGAAATTAACGAAGAAAGCCATTAGACAAAGTTTCAACTGAATGAAATCGAAAAAACAACATTTGTGTCCAAATAAGCAATTTGGAAGGAGCGCTTTCTGTAAGATTTGACTCGAAATTTTGACTTCGTGATGATACAAATCTATTGACCTTCAAACAGATCTTTCCAAACTTGTTCAGTTTCTTCCGGAGTAGCAAGATAAAAACGTTTTGTTAGCTCATCGATTGTTTCCAGTCTACACTTCACCTGTGCTAGGTCGTGTTATGCAGAAAAGGCGCGCACCCGTATCCAAACATTTCTTGCGATACCATAAACAAGAGCTGCAGTCTTCTTCCCATTATTAGCAACTGCTGCCAGATAAAATCCATCCTGAAAAGTTATCTTTCCAAACTTGTTCAGTTTCTTCCGGGGTAGAATTATTTTTTTCTGACATCAATTAAAACTTCATCAGTGTGGTAAATAAATAAATGTATGTAAACCAGCAAATAAAATACAAATAATCAAATAGTTCATTCATTTTATTTTGATTTTTGCTACCGTGTATCAATCAGAACTATAAACTTAAAATAATAATCGTTCAGAAAAACAAATTAATTAAAAAATAAATATAACAATATGAGCTCAAAATAATCGTTCTCTAGCGTAATATTTAAGGTGGCCGATAAAATATATACATAAAAATATATATATGTTTATATATATATATATATATATATATATATATATATATATATATATATATATATATATATTATTATT